GCGTCTCTTCCAGGTGCGCATGTCATGAAAACAGCTGATTCGGATGACTCGGCCCCACTGGAAGTGACACAGTGGAGAAAATGTATAGGATCGAGAAAAATTATAGAACACTGACTTTGACACTGTCCGGCCCCTCCCACTAACCTCCCACAGCTCACAGCCCAGAAGCATGGACAGCCAGTTCCCCGGCAATTCATCTTAGTGAATTGGCCCACTATTTGAAAAATAATGTGGAGAAAAAATTTCTGTGACACAAGAATGTCTATGCAGGTGGGGCATGTGGGAGGGACTTGTATATGGGCGGAGCACAAGGGGGCCCCATAATCTTGTATTGCCCGGGGGCCCCATGTGTTGTCAGTCCGCCCCTGGCACCAAGGCTTAAGTTAGTGGAGTTAAAGATGATAGGTACAGCTTTTTTTTTACAAAAATGTTGCATGTCAGGAATGTCTTCATGCTGGACGATGTACAGACTTTGCACCTTTTATAATTAATACTAAATGAATGTTTAATTTTCATACCAAACTAGGAGATTAAACTGCATACAACTAGAAATACTGCAGAACTCACAGAGTTATCTGCCAACTACAGAGAAACAAAGTTATCAGCGGCTAGCTGACCACTTAGCTCAGTGACATATTAAGCTGACGAAGTTGCCCCTCAAAATTTGGAAGGCAACTTGATCTGAGCAGCACATAACCAACTCCCAACTTTTGTGATGGTGAAGTCATTGTTGGTTATGTCATCATCATCGCTGACCCTTAAATTTGGCAGCCTGCAGTGTCTGTGGGCTACGAGACTCTGCTGAGGATTGGACTGGAACCAAGCTAAGACTGTTATTTTGTAACCCATCTTCTGTAACCAAGATAAAGGAGAACTATTAATGAAAATCACTCATCCTCATAATTCGAGCCGACGTGTGACAATGAAACTGTCACACGTCGGTTCTATAGATCGGGAAGTGAGCGTACACATACCGTCGCTCGCTCACTTCTCGATCATCTCCCTGCAGTGAGCCGTGACTGTCACTCACGGCTCCTTGCAGGGATTCCCCCCTCCGTGCTCCGATCCTCCAGCACTGACTGGCGGAACGGACGGGGGAGGGGGCTGGTACAGCTGGCTCTACCTCTAGATAGGCAGAGCCAGCTGTCAATCACGCAGCTGGGTGGATCTCAACAGTAATGTCGGGATCCGTCCCGGCTGCGGCGGTCTCAGTGTACTGCAAGCTGTAGCTCGCAATATACTGAGCTTTGGATAAGAAAAAAAAGAAAATATATACTGAGCTTTGGGACACAGGAGGACGCTAGTTTATGTCCTCCCGTGACCCTTAGGAGAACTATGGGGAAAAACACTGACCCCATAGTTCTCTTTTAAGTAGACATTTTACTTTTTATTCTTTTAAACTGGATGCAGCCAGTACAATATCAAGAGCCTTAAATGTAACCTGTGTCAGGTAGTTGTATTATTATTATATCAGCATAGTCAGGCTATTTATAAACCCTGTTATGACATTAAATTAAGTGATGGTTGTCATAAAATGACATCTATACAGCCACATAGAGAACTTACCCTTCCTGACTTCATCCTCCACGGCGGCTGGGCTTTTAAGGTCTATGACAATAGTTTCATAGCTTATTTTGCCAGACCACTCCAGACCACTGGCAGACTTTTTTAATTTGAGTTCCAATGGACAACGTGTGACGATACCTGCACAGAGTGAGAATAAATTACTATCATTAAGTTTTTCGGCATCATATCATTTAATTTGTAATTTAAAGCCCAAACTGAACTGTCAGAATAAAGCAGCTAAATATATTCCAGGTGCATGAAAACTAAACGTCTGCAAAGTCTTGTACTTTAATTTGTTTAAAAAGCAGCCACAGCCAGAGAAGAAAAGCCTGCTGGCATGCTGCAGAGAAGGACCTTGCTCTCTACGTGGAAGCAGCGATCTCTTTGCAGAGATCCAAGATACTCCTTGTATATTACACCCCTTTCACACTGGCCGATCAGGAGAGGATCCGTCAACAGATCCTCTTCTGATCAGAGCGGCACATATCAGATGTCACCGCTGTGACATCCGTGTCTGTACAGTAAAAACTGAAAGTGCCGGACCCCATGCAAGCCTATGGGAAATCTGATGTAAACGGGCATGTGTTAGTTTACACCAGATTACTTCCGATCAATGATTCGTCTGTTTTACCGGACCGAGCCGAAACTAACTGGGTGTAAACGGATGCTCGTCCATTTAAACCCGGCTGCCCATAGACTTCCAATCGGGTTCGCTTGAAAAACTGACAGGTGGACCCGTAACTTTAATCTATGAGAGCCTCCATTTTGGAACATATGTACAGTTGTGCTCATAAGTTTACATACCCTGGCAGAATTTATGATTTCCTGGCCATTTTTCAGAAAATATGAATGATAACACGAAAACCTTTCTGTCACTCATGGGTAGTGTTTGGCTGAAGCCATTTATTATCAATCAACTGGGTTTACTCTTTTCCAATCATAATGACAACAGAAACGACCCAAATGACCCTGATCAAAAGTTTACATACCCCAGTTCTTAATACGGTGTGTTGCCCCCTGTAACATCAATGACAGCTTGAAGTCTTTTGTGGTAGGTGTGGATGAGGCTCTTTATCTTCTCAGATGGTAAAGCTGCCAATTCTTTATGGCACAAAGCATCCAGGTCCTGTAAATTCTTGGGCTGTCTTGCATGAACTGCACGTTTGAGATCTCCCCAGAGTAGCTCAATGATATTGAGGTCAGGAGACTGAGATGGCCACTCCAGAACCTTCACTTTATTCTGCTGTAGCCAATGACAGGTCGACTTGGCCCTGTGTTTAGGATCACTGTCATGTTGGAATGTCCAAGTACGTCCCATGCGCAGCTTCCAGGCTGATGCATGCAAATTGTCCTCCAGTATCTTTTGATAACATACTGCATTCATCGTGCCATCAATTCTGACCAACTTTCCTGTGCCTTTGTAGCTCACACATCCCCAAAACATCAGCGATCCAGCTCCGTGTTTCACAGTAGGAATGGTGTACTTTTCATCATAGGCCTTGTTGACTCCTCTCCAAATGTAGCGTTTATGGTTGTGGCCGAAAAGCTCAATTTTGGTCTCATCACTCCAAATGACTTTGTGCCAGAAGGTTTGAGGCTTGTCTCTGTGCCGTTTGGCGTATTGTAAGCGGGATACTTTGTAGCATTTGCGTAGTAATGGCTTTCTTCTAGCGACTCGATCATCTTTCTTCAAGTGCCTCCTTATTGTGCATCTTGCAACAGCCACACCACATGTTTTCAGAGTGTCCTGTATTTCACCTGAAGTTATTTGTGGGTTTTTCTTTGCATCCCGAACAATTTTCCTGGCAGTTGTGGCTGACAGTTTAGTTGGTCTACCTGACCGTGGTTTGGTTTCAACAGAACCCCTCATGTTCCACTTCTTGATTAGAGTTTGAACACTGCTGATTGGCATTCTCAATTCCTTGGATATCTTTTTATATCCCTTTCCTGTTCTATACAGTTCAACTACCTTTTCCAGCAGGTCCTTTGACAATTATTTTGCTTTCCCCATGACTCAGAATCCAGACAGGTCAGTGCAGCACTGGATGAAGGATGCAAGGGTCTGTCAGGAGGCCAGAAACTCATTGGCCTTTTATACACACACACTGATTACATGCAAACAGATCACAGGTGAGGATGGTTCCCTTTAATAGCAATTCACACCCCTTTGTGTCAACCTGTGTGCATGTTATCAGGCCAAAATCACCAGGGTGTGTAAACTTTTGATCAGGGTCATTTGGGTAGTTTCTGTTGTCATTATGTTGTCATTTGCTTTTGTACTTTATAAGTCAGCCCCTCAGCGTCATAAACATGTGGAATAAATAAATCAGTGTGTTATCCTCATTCTACCCATGAACCAACAGAACCTTTCCTTCTTTTGCCTAATATGTCGTCATGATGATAAAAGAGTAGGGTGACAAAGGTACAGCATGACTCCCACTGGTCTGAGAGTGTAGTCTTTCTATTTCTTAAATATGCATATATTATATTAAAATTAGGGCACCACAAATATTGGGCAAGTCCAGTTGTTATTAGCCACAAAAAGGTCATGAAAGTATCTAACACATTTTGGGGGCTCAGCAGTTCCCCTTCATCAGGGCTCCTTGTGAAGAATGAGTTTGTATGGCTACTGGGCCAGGGTGGATTGCATGGAGAGAATGCTAAATGTGCAAACTAAGCGCTCGTTCAGGTCGCAGGTCTAACATCTTGTTATGCAAGTTGCACAGTAGAGCCTTCTTAGAACAGACGGTATTCACATGTCATTCATATGCACTGCACTGATGATTGCTAACACATCTGAAACAACTGTATGAAATATAGAATATTTGGCTTTAATAATTCATAGCTGATATGGTGATCACATGATCAGGAACCCCTTTGATGGGGTGCCAATCATTAGTGGGCACCTGAACCATCAATGACAGCCAGGTTTAAGATCCACCAGTTGCATGAAGTGTCAGCTGTTCCCTACGGAAGGACGTTTATTAATGTAACCCCAGCATGGGGGAGGGTCATGCTGAGGGAAGTGATATACAGACTGTGGCAGGAATTAGTTGCTGATCTGAAACAAGTATGCACCCAGTTAATCTGAAATCTCATTCTGAATACTTATGCGTCAGTCAGTGACTTTCCTAGGCAATGAAGGCTGGAGTGCCCTGGGACCTGCAATTTAAAAACACAAGGCTCCCACCCACATATTTCTACAATGAACCATTTTCATTTTTCATTGACCCTGAGGAAACTTACAGCTAAATGTCTCTACACACTTTTGGGTCACAACACACTTTGGGACAATTTGATTTGATGACAATCAACATGCCACATTGCTTTTGGATAGTGGGAGGAAACTAAGGCCAATATGGCATGACAAACCAATTCAATATAACATATGCAAGAATGACCTACCGCTGCCTCTGGGGAGACACACTCCAGACAAAGCCTCCAATACAGAACTTTTCCCAGAGCTCTGATCACCAATGACCGCGATCGCTGGTAAGGCCAGGTCCTTCTCCACCCCCAGCGCCCGCAGTGAATCAATGAGGTCAATACAGGGACGGATACGATTTTCATACTGCTGACTCAGAACATTTTCTGGTTGTACCTTAAGAATATGAAAATAGAAAGATGTTTGCTTAATTATGTGTGATTTCAAAATTTATTTTTTTACTATTTATGTATTTAATAGTGATTTCTTTTCAGACTGCCTCCAAAACAGCTTACATTCTAAAGTCCTGTCCCCATTTATGCACAGAAAAACCTATAACCCATTTAATATCCATACCTCATAGACACACAAACCCATGGCCATTGTTAGTATTCTTACCCATAACTGGTATACACATAACTGTGTATAACTACACAAAGGACTAGGTATTCACCGAAATTACATTTTTAGACTGAAACCGAAATGTCAAAATTTGTCAGGCTGAAACTGAATCCGAAAATTAAATTGTTTTCTAATCTTTTTAAAATGTTAAAATAATTTTTTTATTATTTCATTTTTATGTTTTTTAGTTTACTGTTAGGGGCTTTGGGAAAATATACCCTGATACTTCCCTTTTGATATAGAAAAAGAGATTGAGGACACAGAGTCCTGAATCTCTTTTTCTGCAGCCTGTGTTATGATGAACAGGAAGCCGCTATACCAAGCTGCTCCTGTCCATTCATAAACTGAGCAAATAGTTACTATGCCCACAATCAATGATGCAGAGCACTTCCTATTCATTCAGAATTGGGGACACAGTCACTTTGTCCTTGGTTATTTACAAACATCAGTGGGATCAGAACTGATCCCACTGATGTTTGAGCAGTACATGGAAGGATCAGCAAATATTTCACATATTTACTGATCCTCCCTGCTCTCCATCCTGTGTCTAGTGTCTCTGGATACTGATAGTATTCAGAAGGGTGCAATACCTCTGTGCAGCCACTAGGTGCCGCTGTGCCCGCTGCTCAGCGGCTCCTCTTTCTGCTCTTAACTGAATGGCAGCTCCCAGGATCCGCCTCGGAGAGTGAAGTGGCAGGATGAAGCGGGACAGGCGAGGGCAGAGTACAGCTTCTCTCCTCCACGCTGGGTGCCAGCTGCTGGATCAGCTCTATGTCCCCTGTGATCCCCACTGCCTCTGCCGACACAGGCAGGGAAGAGCAGCAGAGGGGACATAGACCGAAGCTTGCAGCCGATGCCCAGCGGGGAGGAGAGAAACTGGGGATGTACCGCATTTTCGCCCATTTTTGTACTATCCGCATTTTGCCCATAGTAACATTTTAAGCTGAATTTACGGTGCATCCCTACTTGTAACTTCCTGTGAGCTGAACTAAAACCTCAAACAATGTTATCAGCGTTCCCAGCTGAACTACAATTATAAATCCTACCATGTAATAGAAATAAGAAGGTGTTTGTAGTCAAAATCAGGATAGCACCCTAGGGTGACCCCGCTGAAATGTTTTGTTGGCCAAAATTCTGGTGCATCCCTACATAGGACCAATCTAATGTTCTTACTCTAGTTATACTAATATCCAATCTTATATCCTTAACCTAATTATACCAATCTAATGTTCTTACCCCATTTTTTGCCCAATTACACACTGGGGCAGGTGGTAAATATTACAATTCTGTATATAAAAATCATAACTTAAAAATTATCCATAGCAATAAATAGATGTAAATTAAAAAAAATGAGGCTTACTTACAATGGTATCACAATTGTGCTCCAAGGGTGTTGCTGAAGCCTCAGGGAAACCACCAGAGAGATCTGAAATGAATTAATCATGGGAAATGTTTTGTATTTTCAGTAAATCTCATATCTGTTATCATTTGATCATTAAACACTTTTGAGCATGTATATAAAAATAATTCTTTATCACCCCCTAGAAGATTTGTGTTAATTTCATTTTTGCTAGAAAATTAAAAAGTCAGCCAATTGAAAGTTTATGGCTGGGTGTTTCTCACAATTGTGCCAGCACTAACACCGGCGATCACCTGTGCGTCACTGCTAGTGATCGATACACCTGCAGTTGCATGTAGCACTGAGCGATGGCACAAATATGGAGCACTGTGCTACCATTAGAGGATAATTGCTACTACATGCTACACTCCATTGCTCCCTATATGTAGAAGTCTCTAGTGATTCATTGCAGGGTGATTATGGACGATGATTGTTCTAGCTTTAAAAAAAAAGAAGCACTCATGTGCACCTGGACTTGCCTTCTTCCCTCTAACCTTACCTACCCCACACCCCCCTCCTTGAGCTGATGGTTGCGGTTCTGCTTTTTGTTTATATCCTTCACTCTCCTGGCCATTACAACCCCACAGACCTCTATGGGTCCGTCTCTGATTGTCTCATGGACATATATGGGGCCGTAATGTGGAGGTCCGCCCAGGACAGTGAAGACTTGCAGCGCTGGTGAACACAAACAGCAGAAACATGCTCTTGTCTGATTGAGGCAAGTACACATCTATGGAGTGGGGGGGGGGTTGGGTACCCCCTACAATCCTATGCTCTATCTTCAAGTGACATGTGACCTTGCGAATGGAAAAACTCTCAACAAAGGAAGCTTTTGGATTCTACCTATCTTCTGCAGAGCTTCCTGTATTGTCTCCATGATCAGATCCTGGGTGGTTTTTTTTTAGGAACAGTGATAGTTGGTGATACTTCTGAGCTTTGTGTTGCTTGATTTGCTGACTTGCAGCTATAAGGATTAATGGAGGCTGTTGATTGGTTGAAGTGTTAAAGGTAAATGCAAATGATTTGCCAGGAGCCTAAAGAAGCAAAGAGAAAAAAAAACATTGTTACAAGACTTTTACTTTTACCTTGCTAAGGGTGAACAATGAATGTTTTGCTGCTCATAAATGGCGCTGTAGCATTAATAAAAAAGAGAGCCTGTCACATATACCAAGTGACTTATTCAAGTTGAACCCGGACACAAGAAAAAATTATTTAAATACTGTATATTCCTCAATAGTCACAAAGGATATCAATCTACTTTGTGTGCACCAAATGCTCAGTAAACCCAGATATTACCATACAGCACATCATCACTGTGTTGTACTTAGCCGATGCAGAAAGCAGAGCTGTCGGAGGCTCCCAACAGGCCCCACCCACTACAGGCTGCCTGCAGAAAACAGGACAAGACCAGTCCTGCACAAGAAGAGAGAGCAGCAGTGACCGGTCTTTATTACAGGAAGCTCCTGCACAGAGGCAACATTTTGCACTGGATTACTGCACAGATCTGGAAGAAATACACAAAGTTTACCAAGATTCAAGTATGAATACACAACTCTTGTATTTAGACAGCTTTAAAGCCCATCTCTAGCCAAAACTTTTTGTTTTTGTTTGCAAAAAGTGGGTAAGGGTGATTGGAACGGCTGTCAGATTTTTTGCGCGATCTGTGATTCCTTACTCACTTCCTGCCCCAGAGACAGTGGTCACCAATACAAGTGGAGAGAAAATATCCTTGTGGGGACACATGAATATTAACCTTGCATTATACTCATTACTATCTCCACTGTAGAATCAAATTGTTACTATGTTACAGGCGCCGCTATGATCCTCACATTCCAAAAATTCTTGCTGCATTGGATGCGGGTCAGGTCCCCCCCCATCTAGTTTACAACTAATAAAGAAATCTCCCAGTACAGTACAGGCAGGGTTAATTAGGTTAAATGTGACTAACTTTTATGTTAAAGTGACACTAAACTCAGGAGTTGAATCTTAAAAATGTATTCAAGTATTAACAAAAATTTATCTAATTTATGTATCACTCGGCTTTAGATCCTCAAATCCTCTCTGAATTGGTGCTGACACTGTCCTTCCTTCTGGAGGGGGGCTACTCTTGTTCCCCATGGTCCCTGTGTGTGTTGTAAAGTAGTCACTGCTCCAAGCTCGCTCCTGTGATGGACTCAGCACAAATCTCAATATAAATGAGTAAACTAAACATGAGATTGTAGTCCATCACAGGAGCAAGCTTGGGGTGGTGACTACTTTACAACACACACAGGGATCATGGGGAACAAAAGTAGCCCCCCTCCAGAAGGAAGGACAGTGTCAGCACCAATTCAGAGATGATTTGAGGATCTACAGCTACAGAGTGATACACAAATTTAGTGTCACTTTAACCCTTTCGCTGCCGTTTACGTCATTGGGCCCATTTAAACAGACAACCGCCGGCTTTAGCCGCCAGGACTCTGTTTACAATTGTAAAGCCGACTGTCGTATAATGTTTGGGGGGTTTGATATGATCTTCAGGCCTAAAATGTGGATAATAACAAGTGTGCAAAAAGTTAAAAAAATCCCTTAACTGCGAAAGGGTTAAACACAACTTTAACATTGCATTATAGTGGAAAGCTAAGTAAGGTTCTTTGACAAGACTAAATGTAAGAAGCGATTTTTTTATATTTGTTTAAAGTTATGCTAGGTGAATGACAACATGTAACACATATAAAGTAGGTGTTATCCCAAATTGGCTGCAAAAGAGCAAATTCACTTTAAGTGTAGAAGAGATTGAATTCACGCCGAGTACTAGAAGAGTTCTGATATTTGCTGAATAAAGACGGCCATGTCTGAGCTCCAATCATCTCACAATCCCTTTTTTCCCTTTCAATCCCCCTCTATTCTCCTCTGTGTATGAGAGATGTGTACTCACCACTGTGCACAGCCCGAGGACCAGGAGACAGAATGACCAGGCGTTTCCTCCTCTGCTTTTATTGTAGGGATTTCCCAGGCTGCTCCTCCTCTTCTGCAGAATAGAAAGTAAACCTGTTTCCTCTTCTGCTGAATGGAAACTGAAACAGTATTACTTCTGGTGGTTTCCTGAAATGTATACCTGGTGAATCTGTGTAACCCCTTCACTGCCATATCTCTGGCAGTCTCATGTAACCCCTTCACTGCCACACATCTGGAGGTCCCATGTAACCTATTCATTACCACACATCTGGAGGTCCAGTGTAACCTCTTCACTGCCACACATCTGGAGGTCCCGTGTAACTCCTTCACTGCCACACATCTGGAGGCCCCGTGTAACTCCTTCACTGCCACACATCTGGAGGTCCTGTGTAACCCCTTCACTGCCACACATCTGGAGGTCCAATGTATTCTATTCACTGCCACACATCTGGAGGTCCAGTGTAACCCCTTCACTGCCACACATCTGGAGGTCCCGTGTAACCCCTTTACTGCCACACATCTGGAGGTCCCGTGTAACCTCTTCACTGCCACACATCTGGAGGTCCCGTGTAACTCCTTCACTGCCACACATCTGGAGGTCCCGCGAAACTCCTTCACTGCCAATCATCTGGAGGTCCTGTCTAACCCCTTCACTGCCACACATCTGGAGGTCCCATGTATCCTATTTACTGCCACACATCTGGAGGTCCCGTGCAACCCCTTCACTGCCACACATCTGGAGGTCCCGTGTAACCCCTTCACTGCCACACATCTGGAGGTCCCATGTAACCTATTCATTACCACACATCTGGAGGTCCCATGTAACTTATTCATTACCACACATCTGGAGGTCCCATGTATTCTATTCACTACCACACATCTGGAGGGCCCATGTAACCTATTCATTACCACACATCTGGAGGTTTCATGTAACCTATTCACTGCCACACATCTGGAGGTCCCATGTAACCCCTTCACTACCACACATCTGGAGGTCCCATGTAACCCCTTCACTACCACACATCTGGAGGGCCCATGTAACCCTTATATTCAAGAAGGAGCATAGGCTGCACCGCTTTGAATCTGAGGTCTGACAGTGTTGGCCCCAAAATGCTATGTGGATGCTCCTTCAAAGCCATGGGCAACATGACCCAGGGCTGTGCAGAATCCCCCCCACATAACAGTAATGTGTAGATCTGCAACACCTCGTGGCTGGCTATACCCATGGCGGTCTTTCAATCCAAGGCTTTGTGGACAAAAGTCGACAAAGACACAGTTTGATAAGTTTGGTGTGAGGACCTCATTTAGCCTGAACCCTGCTGACTACTTTTGGGTTGAATCTTAATCCAAATAGCATTCAACACCATTCAGTGTTCAACATCAGTACCTGACTTCACAATTGCTCTCTTGAATCTACCACAGACACATCCTAAGATCTTGTGGAAAGCCCTCCCAAGAGGGGCACCTAAAAAAAAAAATTAAAATGGAATCCTCCCACCTGCGGCTTATGAAGAATCCATTGATAGTTTTTTTTAGGGGGTGGGCTAGCATACATTAATCCATTGTTCCACAGTCTCCCCAGTTCTGACTGTGACAACCAGAACACAATAGTGACATAAGGATCGGCGCATGGAACCACAGAATGCTGTGGGGGACGCCGGCATCTGACACTTTGGAAAGTGTTTAATGTGAAGATTGTTCAAACAGTTGGAACTCATAAACAAAGCAAAGATCGGAGGCACAGAAGGCAAGGCAGGTGAGTATAAATGGTCTTTTGTAGTCGCTGTGTGTTTTTAGAATATGACCAAGTCTTTTACAATGTTAAAGATATTATATTTTCATTGGGTATTCAGATTGGAGAACTTTTTAAAATATTTTCAATTTGTGGTCCAGTGTGCACATTCATGTGTGCCTATTTCCAGCCAGTAGATGGAGCTCTGGGACCCTTTTGCCATGTTTATCAACTATCAGGCTAGTCTTAAAGAACTCCAGGTTTTAGAAACATTAACCCTTGCAATGGGGCCGCCCCGCGCTGCAAAGTTTAACTACTCGTTTAGGTCTAGGAGCGAAAATAAAGAAGAAATACCCCATCCTCTGTCCCACCTGGCTGCTAGAGCGATCCCCACAGCCTCATCTCCCCTGGGCTCTGGCGCTTTATGGACCTGTGACATCATCACATTTACTACAGGTCTATTAAACTTGAGTGAAGATGCTGAGGGACGTACTGCAGCCGGATCGGAGGAAAAGAGAGAGGTCACTGCCAAAGGTCTGAGAATTGGGTGAGTATTTCTTCTTTATTTTCGCTCCTAGACCTAAACGAGCAGTTAACACCTGCGGTGGGGCGACCCGGTACTGCAAGGGTTAACTGCTCATTTTTCTAAAACCTGGAGTTCTTCTTTAGCCATGCATCAACCTCCCCAATCTACAACACTCCACCAAGGCCTCCTCTGGTCACACAATAGGGAGCATCAGGTACCCACCACTGGAGCACACCCCAGCTCCACCGCACAACAGGAAACAAGTTGGGGCGCACAGTCGCACACCAATGACATCAGTGGATTAAAAAGAACTATATGCAGGAAATACAAGTGTTGTACAATCCCGCCTTACATCCACCCTACTGACGCATTTCACTCTCGTCTAAAGCTGGCCATACACCTATAGATTATCTGCAGATTTTCTATGGTCAGATGGAAAAAGTGCAACAGATTCCTCCATCTACGCCAAACTGTGCGGATGGAGGAATCATCCACTGGGCCAAGCTTCAGTATCTTGCTAGTCGGCCCCGCTGACTCTGAAAACACCTGAACAATGCCTGCAGCCAATCAGATTGTTCAGATATTTTGACAGCCAGCGGGGCCGACTAGCAAGATTCTGAAGCTGGGCCCAGTGGGAGATTCCTTCATCCACACAGTTTAGTGTAGATGGAGGAATCTGTGGCACTTTTTCCATCTGACCATAGAACATCTGCAGATAATCTATAGGTGTATGGCCAGCTTTACTTGCAGAGCTAATGTGAATTTTTGCAGGTCTGTTTTACAGAACTCAACAGCTGATGCTCAACTTACACACACAGCTGAATTAAGTCAAACTGACCCTTCTCCCTCCCCTGCTGTGTAGACCTTTTCAGTTAAAAACAGATTGCATTTGAAAGTAGATAGCTTCAGATAGCATGCATGTGTTAATTATGAAAAACCTAAGTATACCATTGCCAGGTATTCATTATTTCCTCGGCTGGGACAAACTGCAATGTCAGATTTTTAAAGAAATGTATCTATTTATTACTGATAACCCACATTTTCTCTTTCTGTAATAGTATTGTATCAAAGTCAAATCTGACAGTAAAATCTGACATTGCAGTTTGTCCCAGCCGATGATTAACCCTTGAGCTGCCTTCATCTGTAAGACAGTTCGCACATTTCTTTTGTTGTACTGTTAAACTGGTTACAGGCGGGGTTGACAAATCAGTGTAAAAAGGGCTACACACAAGAGCTTGACATCTCCAGGAGCGAAACAAACCCAGTATCACATATGTACTTACCTCTTGATCCCAGGATCAGTTCTTCCAGTTTCTACCCCAGACGTTAAAACAGAGAAACACAGCTGACAATTACTGATCAAAAATTACACTTAGTGTTTTTTTTAAATCGAACTATACGAAAACAGAAAAGATGGCTTACACTTTAAGTACCGAAATAGATGAAGAAATTAAGGAGGCATTCAGAAGAGATGGGACACAACCACAAGGACTAGAAAATGAGATAAGAGAAAAATTTAGATTACATAAAAAATTAATTCTAAAACACCTGAATAGAAAATGGGATGTTATGTCCCTTGAGTCATATGTACAAGCGAACATAATACCAAGAGGTCTAAGAAATAGGATCATACCAGCAGACCACCTACAAAACACGAGATTTATGGATAAATGGAAAGAACACTGTCTACAACACGGATTAACAACAATGAAACTGATAGTAGAAGAAGAGAAGATCCAGATGCAAGACCTCGAGATACAGATAGAAGATAGTGCAAGAGCCCTGGAACATCTAAAAGAAAATGAAACATTTAAAAAGCTGAACGACATGCTACGGAAGGAAGTGGAAAAAATACAGAGAAACTTAAGACAATCTAAAGAAGCAAAATTCCAAAGAGATGTAGCAGACATAAACATCGAGATACAGATAGAAGATAGTGCAAGAGCCCAGGAACATCTAAAAGAAAATGAAACATTTAAAAAGCTGAACGACATGCTACGGAAGGAAGTGGAAAAAATACAGAGAAACTTAAGACAATCTAAAGAAGCAAAATTCCAAAGAGATGTAGCAGACTGGGAGAGGGGGGATCAGTTTGACCTCACTCAAATTAGAGGAAGAAGTTTTCAAAGAAGAAAAGCACGGAACAGTAGAAGTAGAGACAGAGAAGTAAGAGGTCTATCCACAAGTGAGAGTGAAAGCGATATACCAACCAAATCGGTCAGTTTTTTAGAAATGAGAGAAGATGGACCACATACCAAAATAAAAAACACAGGAAAAATAGACGACCTAGAAAGAGAAGACATAATACATCCAGGCAGAGGCATCCAAAACAAAACCATAATGAAGACAAGAAGTCGCCGCTATTAACCCCATACCACCCACAGGGAAACGAAGAAACAAAAAACGTCATAAATCTAACCGATTTTCCCTTGAATCAACATCACATCAACCTCCTGAAAAGAGGATTATCCTTCGCACCCGTGGATGGCATGGACGAGTTCACCATTTTCAAAGATCTAAATCTCTTCCTAAGAAACGGTCTACCTACGGTACATCCATGAAAACAAAATAGACTCCTCAAAATGGAACACCAAGACCACACAAGAAATTAATGAAATAGATGTCCAAGCCCTGAAATACCTAGAGGCACTACTAGAAGAGAATTTGGAAATTACCAACCAAGAAGAGGAGGAACAAAACGACAAACGAATAACCCCCTTCAAAAAAAGATCTAAAACAATACCCAATGTATCTAACAATAAACATCTAGCACTCTTTAAGGAACTAGTACACAACGAAATAAAACAGATTGATTGGTCAACAAGGAGCAAAGATAATCTAACAAAAGCAGAAAGACAAGCCCTGAAAGAACTCAAAACAGCACCAGGAATAGTGATCAAAAGCAGCGACAAAGGAGGCAACGTGGTCCTACTCCCAGAAACGATGTATATAACCGAAGTCAAACGACTCCTGAATGATACACATACGTATACCAAACTAAAAGACTCCCCCTTCAAAAAACTCAGCATGGACTTCAACTTCAAAATTAACCTAGCTTCCGAGGCAGCTCTTCTAACCACAAAAGAAGCACGCTTTCTACATATAGAACGATTCAACACTCCTACATTCTACATAATTCCTAAAATTCATAAGAATTCCAACAATCCACCAGGGAGACCGATAGTCTCAGCCATGGGGGGACCCCTAGAAAATCTGGGGAAATACCTGGACTTCATGTTAAAGGACATGCTACTCCAGTTACCGTCATATATCCGAGACACAAAAGATGTCCTGAAAAGGTTATCAGAATTAACAATAAGTGAAGACAACCTACTGGTGGGAATTGATGTGGAATCTCTGTATACCTCAATACCACACAAATGGGGCCTAAAAGCTGTGGACTTTTTCCTGCAACAATTCTACCCAGAAATGGCAAGACAGAACGAGTTCCTGTTGGAACTGTTAGAATTTGCCCTGGAAAATAACTTCTTTGAATTTTCAAACATCTTCTATAAACAAATAAGAGGCACAGCCATGGGAGCCCCATGGGCACCATCATATGCTTGCCTGCATCTGGGCCTCTGGGAACTAGAAGAGGTTTACCAACATCCACTTTATGTGGACATGCAACAATGTGGCTCAGATATATAGATGACGTGATACTACTGTGGAGGGGAGGTGAGAACCTCCTGGAGGTGTTCCTGGTAGAACTTAACAAGAATTAAAGAAATCTAAAATTCACCCACACCTTCAGCAATAAACAACTCTCCTTTCTCGACTTATCTATTGAGATAGAGGATGGCCAAATAATTACCAAGACATTTTGCAAAAAAACAGCAGCAAATACTTTATTACATGCCTCAAGCCACCACCCACCACCCACCACCGCTAATACGAGGGATCCCAACGGGTCAATTTCTAAGGATCAAAAGGAACTGTTCTAAAACAACAGACTATTCCAATGAAACTAAAGCCCTGTATGAAAGATTTAGGGAACGAGGGTATCCACACAGAACCCTTAGAACAAGCAAAACAAAAATAAAGGAAAAAACAAGAACAGAACTATTGAAAGATAAACCAAAAGAAGATAATACAAATAAAAACTAATCATTATTTCCTCCAGACATCACAGTCCCGCACCCGCCTTACAATGTCTTCATCGGCTTTTTTCTTCAGAAGGACAAAGCCATCTTTGTTTAGACCACCATCTATGATCACCCTCTACTTTCGGGACTGAGATGACACAGTCATGTAAATACTGGTGCCTGTGCAGTTCTTGGTTGTTTTTACAAATATCTGACACAGATCAGCCCATGCTGCAGCCTGGCAGCTGGCAACTTGCTACAAAATTACAATGCTGCCACCGGAGGATCACTGGGGTAAAAGAGCCTGAGGAAGTGCTTCCTCCTACCTGCACCAGATTGATGGCATTGTGTCAGCCTCGGCAAAGCCACTTAGCTGGATCTCAAAGACAAATGTCAGTTATGAGACGTGGAGCGGTTTTGAAAAATGATACTGCTGCTGTATATTCTGTCACATCGAGAATTTATTCATACCTGTAAAGTTACTGAAAAGATCACTTTAAAGCAAACAGCTTATTGTGTGCTTTGTCCTTGGAAAACACACAATGCTTTAGAAATGTCTTTAAAACGCCCCAAAAAACAATTCTGTGTCATGGTTAAACCCCGGTATTAGATTTGTATTTGTATACAACCCCCCTTCATTGATTCTGAACATAGATGCATCATGTACGCTGCACAGGTAAGTATATTTATCATTTATGCTGAATTATAACCTGAGAATGAAATATGACAACAAATGGCCTGGCATCACACACACACACACACACTTGTTAAGCTTGGGATCCTGGAACTGGGAGATTTCAAAGTGATTCAGCAGTGACCAGCACACGATGATTGCACAGGTGTGCACAGCCCTGAAAGGATGCTGACTAGGTGAATTAGCTCCTGCTGGGTAGAGGAACAGACAGTGTTCGGGAGTCAGGAGGACTCCACCCAGGAGTCAGAGTGGAGCCAGGTGGCTGTGTGTGCTGGAGGCACCTGGGAGACAGCCAAGGAGGCCCGAGGTGCCCATACAACTTGCAATCATCGGGCGAAAATTTTAGTACAGCGGCCCCATCCTGCCCCGACCATCGCACAGTTCAATTAACCGTCTTTAGCAGTGATCACCTGGACAAATTTCATTAATCGACTGCACAGATTTTCGTTTGCGCATGAGCAGTGTTAATCGTACAAATTTTGACGTACGGAAACGCCACTAACCTTGCGAAAATCGTACGATTCGAGCAAAGTTTTCTAACCTGCTGGAAAGACAAAAGTCGATTGATTGTACAGTATTTGCGGTTGTACACTGCCCATCAACCTTACGAATATCGGACAAAAGAGCAATCGCAAACTAAATTCGACCGATATTCGTAAGGTGTATGGGCACCTTCAGAGAGCCATTGACACAGGAGGGATGTGTGGAGGAGCCACGTGAGAGGTGTGGAAAGCTGCTATAGGGTAGAGCGTACCTCTGAGGAGTCTTGCTGATGAAAAACCCTTCCTGGGGATCCTGGGACTAAGACACATGGAGTACATATTTGCCCACCTTAAGTCGGTGAGATTCTGTCATATTGGCCATTGCTGAAGGACAAGCAAATCTTATGTTGTTGAGGTTGCTGAAGAAATAAAAGACTGTCCTTTTTATGTTAAAATGGCTTAGAGACTGGTCATTAAGCGCTCACCATTTGTGCTAACTTCCCCAAATATCACAAAATAAAATATATATATATCATTTTTTTTTTTATGAATCATCTTTGCTCTGCTGCCTCCTTACTGGTTCCCCCTGGTAACCTAGATGACACTGCAAAGTCCTGTAATGACATGGAGATGAGCAGGAGGAAATGGCGAGTGCAGCGAATGATCCAGGAAGTAGACAGACATTTTGTGTACTTTTAAACACATGCAATAGGCACGCCCTTTCATGTTTCCCTGCATTCAAAAAGCATATCATTTACCTAAACACGTATTTGTTGCACATAGCAGCGATATATGGGCACAGTGTGCCCGTTGCTTCTGTTTTATATGTATGCTTTACTGAAGGTGAGAACATTTGCCAAGAGAGTCCAAAGGGAGTGCTCAGTTGTTTAGGCTGTAGGGAAATAAGAGCCCAAACTGCAGTGTGGTAAATGCAGACACGTTATCTTACTTTGTACTGGGGCAGCCATTCACTTGAATGAGCTGCCTTATGCACCATAACTTACAGCAGCGTATTGTAATGCAGGTACACTGGGGAACCATTCAGAATGAACAGCACCACAGCGAACTAACGTGTGTTGCAGTAAAGCATGCACTATTGCAGTGTGACCTGGCTTCAATAACTTCTGAGATGCTGAACTGGAACAAGCATGCCAGGAAAAGACAGAGGTTCTAATCTGCATAATTAGTCCAAGGCAGTGACTCCAAGTGCTGAATTCACTAAATGAGAACAGCCAGGGAACCAGTATTCGCAGACGATGAGGTCAACAATGGCATTTGCCATTCCTTCCTTTTATAAGTGCTCTATAAAGGAGAAGTATTGGGAGAGTAAAATGTATTGTTCCTAATACTTAGAGCCGGCACGGGACACTGCAGCAGTCACACATCGGCTCTATGCAGAAGAACATATACAATATACAAACATGTGATGTAAAGTCACACGGGGTGATCAGTGCTTCTGGATTCCAGCTGGGAAAGATCAGTCCTGTGAGGTGCTCATACCCTGGCCAGACATGCTTCCATCATGAGCTGTGATTGGATACATCTTTGATTTCACTGGTGTCTCTTCTTTTCCACAGGTTTCCAAACACAATGCCAAAGAAAAGTAAAAATCCCACGTTGCGATTGGCACTAAACTTTTTCCAGCAGTCCTCTGCATTGTTTATGTCTAAAGTATAAATCTGTTAAAGGACAAGAGGAACAAAATATAAAAGTTGTCACATCTGCACCTATGAAATTAATTTATAGTACTTCACGGAAATCATCTTACTAGTTGAGCCCAGGAGAAGAGTGCTGAAGTCCATAATGGGTGACCAATCAAAGCATAGAGCACACTTATAGAAGATACCTTCATGCAAGTGGTCATGCAACATACGTCGTCCTGTTACCTTGCTATGTATTGATCATGAGGTATATATGTCAAACCAAAAAATGATTCTGCTTCCCACATTTTAAAATACCTTTATGTTAAAAAAAGTTCTACAACATTCACCAAAAAATCCTCTACAAACTGTGAGTGTAATCTAAAAATAATCAATTGCTGTGCAAAATATATATTATATACACACACATACATACAGTGAGGAAAATAATGATTTGATCCCGTACAGATTTTGTAAGTTTGCCCACTTAAAAGAAATGAAAGGTCTATCATTTTTATCATACACATGATACAACTGTTATAAATTGAGTTGCAGTTCAGTGAGTAAAATAAGTATCTCTACCAACCAACAATAATTCTGGCTCCCACAGACTGGCTATGTGATACATAGATTAGTCCTGACAACTCGTTATGTATATAAAAGACACCTGTCCACAGAATCTCTTTCTTCCATTCAAACCTCACCACCATGGGCAAGACCAAAGAGCTACAGACCTGCACAAGGCTGGAATGGGCTACAAGACTATCAGCAAGAAGGTTGGTGAGAAGGAAACAACTGTTGGGGCTATTATTCGCAAATGGAAGGAATACAAAATAACCATCTCTCGCCCTCGGTCTGGAGCTCCATGCAAGATTTCGCCTCATGGGGTAAGGATATTCATGAGAAAAGTGAGGGATCAGCCCAGAACTACACGGGAGGAGCCTGTGAATGATCTCAAGGCAGTGGGGACCACAGTCACCAAGCAAACCATTGGTAACACAATACACCGCCATGGCTTGAGATCCTGCAGCGCCAGCAAGGTCCCCCTCCTCAAGAAGGCACATGTACAGGCCCGTTTGAAGTTTGCCAATGAACATCTAAATGATTTAGAGAAAGATTGGGAGAAAGTGCTGCGGTCAGATGAGACCAAAATTGAGGTCTTTGGCACTAACTCGACTCGCCGTGTTTGGAGGAAGAAAAATGCTGACTATGTCCCTAAGAACACCATCCCTACAGTCAAGCACTTAGGTGGAAACATTATGCTTTGGGGCTGTTTCTCTGCTAAAGGTATAGGCCGACTTTGCCTCATTGAGGGGCCAATGGACAGGGACATGTATAGTAAAATCTTGGATGAGAACCTCCTTCAGTGTTCTGGCTGAGGGAAGATGGGTCGTGGATGGGTCTTTCAGCATGACAATGACCCAAAACATACCACCAAGGCAACAAAGCAGTGGCTCAAGAAGAAGCACATTAATGTCATGGAGTGGTCTAGCCAGACTCCAGACCTTAATCCTATAGAAAATTTATGGAGGGAGCTGAAACTTCGAGTTGCCAAGTGACAGCCAAGAACCCTTAAGGATTTAGAGAAGATCTGTAAAGAAGAGTGGACCAAAATCCTTCCTGAGATGTGTGCAAACCTGGTAACCAACCACAAGAAATGTCTTACCTCTGTGCTTGCCAACAAGGGGTTCTCCACCAAGTAATAAGTCATGTTTTGCTTGGGGATCAAATACTTATTTTACTCACTGAACTGCAACTCAATTTATAACATTTGTATCATGTGTTTTTTCTGGATTTTTGGTTGATATTCTGTCTCTATCATTTAAAATACACCTATGATAAATATTATAGACCTTTAATTTCTTTGTATGGTGGGCAAACTTACAAAATCTGCAGGGGATCAAATCATTATTTTCCTCACTATATATATATATATTTTGCAGAGCAATTGATTATTTTTAGATTTCACTCACAGTTTGTAGAGGATTCATTGGTGAATGTTTTGGATTCCCCGTTGTAATTGGTAGATGGGGAGCAAGGGGAAAATTAGGGGAAGATAGCACTGTGCACTTTGGTTATATTGTTTGACCGTTAGATTATAGGTCTTTTGGTATTTCACTGCAGCTGTTAAGTATTGTGCTAGGAAGGGGTGGTATCCATATGCGCGAATACTTCTTTTTCCATATAAATTTTTATTTAAGGTAAAAGGCAATAACATGACAATTTATCATAGTACAAAGTCATGGCACTTCAATATACATAACATCATTTTCGGTACTGGTTGGAACCTGGAATTCAAAACTCTCAGCCGCAGAGGATTTACATGCGGGGGATAACAGTCCGAGAAGCCTGATGGCATACAGCCTGGGCATCCTGATGGCATATAGATATAGGAAATCTGTAGAGGGGCTGCAGGAGATGTGAATTGCACGGAGAGCAGTTATTCCAGGGACCGACATACATTATGACTGAAGTGTGAAAGATGGCATGTCGTGGAAATGATTTAGGAAAGCAGTGAGAGGTGGGGAAGAAGCGAATACTTTTTTTAAGTGAAAAAAGTTACCTGATGAGCAAGATGTCCCCCAATGAGTGCAACGGCGGCATAATATGGAAACGTTTGCTCGCAGTTTAGTCCTGTCAGTGTAAGTCCTGCAAGCATCGCTGCACTAAATCCACTTAGCCAGGGCTTCGTCTGCTCATTGAATCGCAATGCTGTTGACTTTACCCCTACAACGACATCGTCTTTTTTATCCTGAAAAAAACACAGTGGAGTTTGCTTTTCAATGTAAAGCATAGCTAAGATTAAGAACAAAATTGTCATATACTGTATCCCACCAATCCTTAGATGTGGTGGTTGCATTCGTTTTCTTTGCATCAGGCTTTCCTTTTCTTTACCTGGTAAACCTGCCAGTAACAAACTTCCTGTCCCCGGGTGACAACACAATGCATCTATGGAGAAGCAGCGGTGTCAACTCAAATAACATATAACCTAGGCGCACCATTGCCTAGGTTATATGTTATTTATTTAATCTTTGGGGTGAGGTGCCCTTTACCTGTGGCCTTCTTTTTGGGAGCCAGGGAGTTGCTATACATATACTACACCTCAGAATAGTATTACAACCTCTATTCTCTCCTCCATAATGTTCGGGGAAGGTGCTCGGTAGTCCACAGAGGGAACTAGGAATGATAACTGATAACAGCTAGCATGAATACAGGAAGTTATCAGCTCACAAGATTTCTAGAAGGATCAACCAATATTTTTTTTACATTTATTGAATATAACAAACATTCTTTTAAATGATGTGTATATAGGATTTCTAAACCAGAGAACAAAAATGTCATATATTGCGGTCTACCAGTCCTTAGATGTGATGGCTGTGTCATGTTTCCAGCTGCGAGCTGAACTGAAAGCATAAACAACTTTCTCTTTCTTCTGTAAACTATTAATCTCCCTAACCCCCCTTGTAAAGGAGATGGACAAAGGAAGGCATGCTTGTAGTCTAGCCTGTGTGACAACTATAGCTCTCTATATACAGTAAATACAATGGAGGAGCGATTTGTCACGGCAGGATCATCATGTGAAAAAGAAAAAGAAAGCCTGACAACAGAAAACTAATGCAGGCACCTCTTCTGATGGCTTGTAAACCACAATATAATACATTTCTAGTTTCAAGTTTAGATTTGCTTTGTCACTGTCAGGGTTTACATACATTTTAAAGCATATAATACACTGCTGTTATACACATATGAGAACCATGTCACCTGCCAAAGGATTTGGAATTCTGTGCAGCTGTTCTTGTGACCGGGCACCCTGCCGGAGTGGTTAGGGCGCACTGCAATGGTGTTTTTTTTTCCTGCTTAATCCCCAGAGTTCAGCTTTAACCCCTTCACTGCCAAGGCTTTTTTTGCGGGGGTTTTTTGCACAGGTTGTAATACACATTTTAGGCCTGAAAATTACTTAAAAGAGAACTATGGGGTCAGTTCTTTTCCCCACAGTCTCTCTTAATAAACTAGCGTCCTCCCGTGACCCAAAGCTCAGTAAATCACAAGCTACAGCTCGCGCTATACTCAGACCTGCCGCAGCCGGGACGGATCCTGACATTACTGTCGAGATCCACCCAGCTGCGTGAGTGACAGCTGGCTCTGCCTATCTAAACTAGTACTTAAGTTTCCTGTCCGTTCCTCCAGTCAGCAGTGGAGGATCAGAGCGGGGAATCGCTCCGATCCTCCACCTTATAGTTCTGCTTTAAACTCCCCGGAGAGTTATATATTTCCCGAAAGCACACACTCTGTAAAATATAATGGCAGCCGTTTTTACATCACATAATATTAGCGCAATTCTTTATCAAACCCCAAATTTCTGTAAAAATGACACTTAAAAGAAAAACCAGTACACGTACCTTTTTATCAGCAGTCAGCCTTCCACCCAGCAGCAGGCTCTCATATAGCAGAAAGTGTGAGACCACGTCACCTCACATAGGCCTGAGCACAGCTGACTAATTAGTGAGGTCTAGTTAAGTAGGATGATGTGGACCTAGGAATGAAGGCCTTATACCACGCAAAGCTCTACAAAGCCTCTGTGCTCCAAGGCTCAGAGAAGAATGTATTAAAGCGGACCTTTACCCCTTTGACTAAAAATGACATTAGCATGCAGCTCTGCATGCTGACATGAAATTATCTTACATTCATTAGATAAACATATTTTACTTACAATTTCTTTTTTTTACCCTTCCTGCTCCACTTTGTCACAAATGATGTAATTGTGCCAAAGCGTACATCCTGGGAAGGTTACATCAGCAGAGCATTGCTGGGAAATCTCATCTGTAATCTCAGGAGATCTCGGGGAAAGGCATTTTCCTCCCCTGAGATGATGTGCATGGTCACATGTCATAGTCACATGTGCCAAAAATCCAGGAAGTAAGGGGAGATCTAGTAACATGGCCACCGTCAGAAGACTGGGGGAAGAAGAGTGAAATAAGGAATGCAAAAATACAAAGCCGGCAACTATCTAGAAGTATGTGTTTGTAGATTGTCATTACTAAACATTTCTAAAAGTGGCCTTGTTGTTATTTTGAGGATATGGGTAAAGTTCCTCTTTAAGTTAATTTTAGTGCACAAAAACACAAAATAATACTTTTTTTTATAAAATATAAAAAAGATGAGGTTATGCCAAGGAAATAGATACCCAACATGCCAAGTTTAAAAAAGTGTGTGTGCCCGTGAAACAGCAACAAAATACGGTACCCAAAAGTATCCATAGGCAACGCTTTACAAGCCGGGGTATGACAACTGAGGAACTGAAAGTTATGCAATCAGCATCACTTCCAGATCATGATGTTTGCCACTCTCTCTACCGCTGACACCAGTAATGCCGGTCCCGGGCCTGCAAGAGGGTCAGCAGAGCCCAGGTAACAAGGCAGGGGCTCTGTAATTTTCTGTACCTGAAGAGTCATTTACATAGATAAAACATGGGGAATTGAGCATGTACCGCAAATATGTACTGCACAATTTGTTTTAATTTCCCAGACATACACTTTATAGTTGTTGGAAGTGTATTCTATCAGTGACAGACATGTGAATTACCTGGTGTGCATAGATGGTGTCATAAACCAGTGTCCACAGGACTCCAGAGATATACAAGGGAAGACACACAGACCAGTCACATGACCCTTTCATAGCCGACCAGCCTAACAAGGCTCCCCAGTTGAATGTGAGCCCTGTGTATAAAAGGTAAAAAGATGAATACATTAACGTACATGCAACTAAGAAATCATCTTGTCAAAACGTCAACATGCCTCAACATGTGCAGAGGGCAGCACAATAGCTCAGTATTTGTAACCACTACACAGTACCGCAATGCACAGTAACACATGCAACGACCCATCAGGAGCACTTGCAGTTGAATTTGGGTCTTTAGGTAATGTTGAACATTAAAGTAAAATGTCTGTGAAGGTTCTTATTTATCCAGGTCATAGTATATCTGTAAAAAATAATTCTAGGCAACTGGACTTGCTGTATTGTTTTTTGAAGACGTTTCACTGGAGATCCGACCAGCTTTCTCAATTCAGAATGACTTGTACAAACATTCTCTGGGAATAAATATGGTGAATGTTGCTCCAATCCGCATAATCTGTTAGTCACAACCTGGTGTGCACTGCATAATTGGAGCTAGGAGGGGTTATTAACCAAGATGAGCAACATTTTGTATTCAGTCCAGTGCAGTGAGGAGTGCTCAGAATTGTATGTCAGTGAAACAAAACAGCAGCTACACCAGTGTATGGCACAGCATAGAAGAGCCAAACCCTCTGGTCAGGATACGGCAATATACCTATATCTAAAGGAAAAAGGTCACTTCTTTGAAGACAGTCAAGTACACATCCTAGACAGGGAGGAGGACTGGTTTAAAAGAGGTGTGAAAGTGGCCATTTATGTAAAAATGGAGAAGCCAAGCTTGAATAGAGGTGGGGGGAGGCATCTATTGTCTGCCACATACAATGCTGTTTTAAGAGATGTATGCCCCCCTCCCCCCCCCCCCACCTCTTTTCAAGCTTGGCCCTGGCTCTGGACAGGTTAATAACACCTCCTAGCTCCAATTATACAAATGCAATGAAAACCTGGTTGCGACTAACAGATTATGTGGATTGGAGCAGCATTCACCATATTTATTCCCAGATAATTTTTGTAAAAGTCATTCTGAATTGAGAAAGCTGGTTGGATGACCAGTGAAACATCCTCAAGAAAAATACAGCAAGTCCAGTTGCCTTTACTTATTTTTTACAGATATTAAAGTAAAACTTAGCCAAAATGTTTAATTTTTAGCTTTGGGTGTGTAAAGACAAAGCTGGATCCCATACTGGAACTTTGTCAACCTGGGCTGTGCCGTGATCTGAATTTCTTAGTTCCTCTTTCTAAAGTATACATTCCATACATTGCTAAGACGTTTCTAGTAAGGGGAAAGACAGTGGCACCAGCGTTATCGTACAGATTTATGGGTCGCCAGCCTCCATGCAGATTCTCAGAAGGAATAGATAAAGAATGCACTCTGGGAATGGGAACATGGACGTTCAGCTTACCTGGTCATGTTAGCTGGGAAGGGGCGAATTTCCAGCTGTGGACTACAGTCAATACCTGCAAAAGGGTTGGAGTTTTATCTCCACCTCTGTAATCCTATTTAACATGGCTGCAGCAGTATTAACTGGGTATTTACAATGCTTAATAGTTTCTTTAGTACTAAGCTGTTTTAAAGAACAACTCCGGGCACATACAATTTTTTTTTTTACCTTGCAGTGGGGCAGCCCTGCACTGCAAGAGGTAAGTGCTTGTTTTGGGCTAGCGGCTGGAATAAAGCAGAAGTACTTACCTGATCCTGGCTCCCTCTGGGCTTCTAGACCGGTCCTCGCAGCTTCTTCTCCCTTGGACCATTGACATCATCACGTCTTATGCAGGCCCATTGACATACATGAGACGTGAGAATGCCAAGGGACATTTCACAGCCAGAGTGGAGGGGGAGAGAGGTGAGAGCTGACCGCCATGGAAGTCAGGATCATGCAAGTAAAACTGCTTTATTCTAGCCCCCCAAGACAGATTGAGCACTTAAAATGACACTAAACTCAGGAATGAAACCTTAAAAATGCATTCAAGTATCTGAACTATTCATAAAAATGTATCTTATTTGTGTATCACTCGGCTGCAGATCCTCAAATCATCTCCGAATTGGTGCTGACACTGTCCTTCCTTCTGGAGGTTGACTACCTTTGTCCCCCATGGTCTCTGTGTGTGTTGTAACGTAGTCACCGCTCCAAGCTCTCTCCCATCATGGACTACAATCTCATGTTTAGTTTATTCATCTATACTGAGATTGTAGTCCATCACGGGAGTGAGCTTGGAGTGGTGACTACTTTACAACACACA